TCTTTACATTAATGTCGTACGAATGTCGACCGAGGTTACGCTTACGCAGTACCGTAGAATTAATCCGTTGAGGGCTGTCTATTACCTCATTCTGAGGTATTCCCTGTATAAATGCAATTGGGCCTCACAATGAGCAAATTGTTGCTATTCGAAGAGTTATTAGACTTCCATTACTGTTGGACTGTCGAGCATCACTCTCTGGCGCATTAAAAATAACCGATCGAACCTTGACCGACTAATTCTAGTTTTTCTTATTAATATTTTTAATTCTCGGACCGTCGAAGTTGTAGAGATCATACAGAAAGCACGCGCTGCAACCACGTAGATATAGGCAAGTATGCGGGCAGGATATCCCAACTTGATCCAGAAACCGAGCAACTTCACGGCCAAATACCGCCGCCGGGGCTAATTGACTACACTGATAAGACGATCTAGCTACACCTGTAGAACCTAGTGAAGAGCGATATAACCAATACTCGCGCGTATGGACCCATTACCGTGTACACGCACGTTGCTGTTTGCCTACAAACAACAGTATCATCAATAAATTCGCCCACGGCCGTGCAGTTGCGTGCTTTCTTGCGTAGCATACGGAACCATTCGTGATCGAGTTTCACTTCAAATTTCGTGAGGGACCACAATTCTTAGGGCTCTATGTTGTGTGCATGGAGCGTGTAGGCTCTTGGTAGCGTTGAGCAGACACGACCGCGGATTGATGTGTTACGTTAGTCCTTCAACAAAAATAGATTAATATCTGTGCGTCGTGTTATCGCTGTTCGTGCGTCAATGCGCTTAAAACACCATGGCGGTACATCACGCGAAGTGTTTTCAAGCTCCTAGCTCAGCCACTGCCAGCAAGCTCATTCTCAATTTTCCCTCGCACCGATCACACCACAACTTCCTGAACTTCATAATGGTCCGCGTCCACCTCGCTCTCGCCGCTGCCTTGGCTCTCATCGCTAATTGCGCCAGCGCTTTCACCGTCGGTTCACCCGAGGGTCTGGCCGCCGGAGCCACTGGCGGAGCAGGTGGTAAGACCGTGTATCCGACCTCCACTACCGAGTTGGTGAACTACCTCGCCTCAAACGACCCTCTCGTCATTGTGCTGAATAAGACCTTCGATTTCCGCGGTACTGAAGGAACGACTACCGAAACCGGTTGCCGACCGGACTACACTCGCGAATGCATGGCCAAGAACAACGGCTACAAGAGTCAGGATGTGATCATCCAGGGTGGAAACATGGCCACCACTGGAGGTTGCACCGGTGGCACTAAGGTCACGGTGAAGTATGACAACGCTGCTCTTAAGCGTATGACCGTTCTGGGCAACAAGACCATCCGTGGTATCGGCAAGAGCGGTGTCATCAAGGGCAAAGGATTGACGCTTGCCGGAGACAATATCATCGTGCAGAACGTCCACATCACG